GGACCCATAGGGGACTCATAGTCCATATACAAAAATCTCATAATCTCAATATCTCATCCCATTGCCACCTAACTCGTGGTCAAAGGTTTTCAAGGTGTTTCACTTTCTTTCTCAAGATAGTACTTTCACGTTCTCAAATTTCCATGAACAATAATAAGGATGAATGCTCATAACAAATCCAATATGAAGGCATAATCAATCCAATGTATGCCTAAAAGAGTTCAAAACTGATAAGCCCCTAACTCAGGTATTTCCAGTCAAACATGCTAGAATAATCAACTCAAACCCCTCTCTCGGGCAATCTCATATAAAGCATGTGAAAATATCAACACAAACTCTCAAAGCAAATGACATATAAAAGGCCCTCAAACAGGCAAAACAACACAAATAAGCCTCAACATGGGTGAAATAACAACAATAAGCCCTCACACGAGCGTAATAACAACAATTAGCCCCCACACGGGATGAATATATATATATATATATATATATATTCATCACTTGCTAATATTTCGGCCTCGTGCTACGATCTCATCCTATAGTCTAGTTTATAAGCATTGTTAACTACCAAATATAATTTGAAAGAAAGATAAGTCAAACCTATCTCGATGGCTGAAACGTCACTTGAAATCATTCAATTGATGTGTTTCCTCTATCCACCGTCCTTAAATGATTCATAACTACCAAGAATCAAATCTACATGTTAAAAGAGTTCCAACGATACCCATATTGCTAAAGTTTAGAATCTGATCTAAAATCACCCTAAAAACTCGTCGAAATAAAAAAGAAGAAGAAGGTAAAACTAGAATTTTGTTGGAAATTCATGTTCATCAAGTGAAGAGACTATGGGTGAAAACCCAAGTGAAAATGAGTCGAAATTGAGTAAAAATTATTTGTTCAACTTTAAGAGAAAAACTCAAAATAATCTCATTTGAAATGCGGTTAAAAACGAAAAAATTTGGAAAACCTTTGTAAAAAAATAGTTTACCCACAATACAAGGACCTTAAATTTCGAAAATCAATGAAAACTCATTCCAAATCGACCTTCAGATCAATAATTTTGATTTTTTACTTCGAGGTTTAAAATCTCCACTTTGTGGATAGAAATCATGAAATATGAAAGAGATATTGAAAAAAAGTAACATATGGTTAGAAATGCATACCCAATGATTATGAGAGAAAAACGCATAAAAGATCACCTCAAACGGACCTTTCTAACTCCCAAACTGTCAAAAATCTGAAATGAGTTCGAATAGATTTCTAACTTAGTGATTTCGCCGCTAAAAATCATTTTCCATCACCAAAAGTATGCACCATCAATCTTTAAAACATCTTTTATGACTTTCGAAACTCACCCGAAATCCAACAAACACGAACCAATAGTGCAAATTCAATAAACCATGTTTCAAAATCAATGGAATTGTCGGATTCAAAAAATATTTCATTACATAAATACCACCTCGGAATCCATTTAGGCCAAAATTTTAACTTTTTACCTAAATATCCAAATCACAACTTAAGGTCCTAGACTCTAACTGAGCACCCTACTAGACCAAACTTGACGTTTCAAATTCAATGAAACTGACAGAATCACCATCCGATGCTCGAATCACAAATTCCTGACCAAAGTCAACCATTTCAATATAACTCAAATTAAAAGCTTAAAATCACTAAAAGCTCACTCGATCGCATCGAGAATCATGTCAACCATATCCCACACACATAATAAGCATTATAACACTAAGGGGAATGGAAAAATGGTCATTTCACACATAAAAGCAATTTCTCACGAAATTAGACATTACACCATCCACCACTAAAATATGCGTTCGTCTTGAAACAAAAATAAACAAATAAAGTACCCGAATTGGTGAAAAGTTGAAGGTGTCTATATGATGCATATCAAACTCGACCTCCCGTGTATCCTCCTCAACAAGCTGGTATTTCCATTGAACTTTCATTGAATCAATATGCTTGGATCTCAACTGTCTAGTCTTCCTATCCAAGATAACAACAAACTCTTTATAAAAGGACAAATCCTAATCCAAAGCAACGGAGTCCCAATGGATCACAGGGAAATCATCATGACGATATCGCTGAAGCATCGAAACATAAAACACGAGACGAACTGCTAGAAGGTTCGGAGGTAAAACCAACTTATAGGCTATATCTTCATACTTCTCCAAAATCTCAAAAGGGCCAAGAAACCGAAGACTAAACTTTCCTTTCTTTCCAAACCTCATCACACTCTTGGCGGACAACATTTTATGAAAAACCCGCTTACTAATAACAAAGGTTCACGAACATGCCTATCCTCATAGCTCTTTTGCCTACCCTGGGTAGTCACAATACACTGCTGAATCAATCTCACTCTATTCGTGGAATCTGTCAATAGTATCCCACAAGGTCAAATCTCAAATGATTCAAACCTAAATCTTAGGAGAGTAAAATCAAGGGGGGAACAAAATTGTACTCGTACTATTATCAATAAAACATTCATATTTCTTCAGATTTTATTTGTGTGGTTGATTTATTTTCTATATGTTTAAAATTTGTTGTAAACAAATTAGCATGCTCAGTGGGACCAAATCTGCCCTTCATCTCTTCCCTCTTAAATAAAGTCTAAAAATCTGAAGCTGCAAATGTGGAAGAATGAGTACTTCAAGCCTCATCTTTGAGTTTCATCAAGTCTACACTTCAACAAGCCTTGAAGCAGGGGACATTTGTAGACATTGAAATTTTGTAGGACTCTATAAGATGTATTCAATTTGAGTTGGGACTCTACAGGGTGTGTTCAATTATCCAACTAGAATTCTTGGAGGCTACTCAACACTAAACCCTAGTTCATATCTATATAAATGGTACTATATTCTCTTGAAAAGGCATCTCAAATATCTAAAATATTCCACAAATTCATGAAATATTCATAAAGAGATCAAATTATAATCATCTTAATTCGAGAAATACGTCACTAATGGCTCTCGAATTCCGAATATCAAGTCCAAATCATCCTAGTTTGAGAAATACGCAACTAACAACCCTCAAATTATGTAGATCAAGTCTAAATCATCATAGTTTGAGAAATACGCCACTAATGGCCCTCAAATTATGTAGATTAAGTCCAAATCATCCTAAGTCGGGAAATACGCCACAAACGACCCTTGAATTATGGATAAATATCTTATGAGAGAAGAATCAAGGGATCAACATAATAGTACCCGCAATCTTGATGAATAAAATTATGTTTCTTCATACTTTTTTTGTGATTGTAATTTATTTTCTGTCATTTTAAAATTTGTTGCAAACAGATCAACATAATAGTACCCACAATCTTGATGAATAAAATTATGTTTCTTCATACTTTTTTTGTGATTGTAATTTATTTTCTGTCACTTTAAAATTTGTTGCAAATAGTTACTGACAGTAACGTTTTATATTTGTTTACTCCGTCAGATTTTTTATCTTTTTTGTTATTGAATTTTTTTGAATAAAATATAATCTAAAACATTACTGAGAAATACAATTATACTAGTTTTGTGAAATTTCAAAAAAAAATTATTTTGGTGATTTGATTTTAATAATGACTTATTTTGGTAAAAAATTCTATAACTCATACTACATTTGGTAGGTAGATAGAAAGTAGGTTATACTCAGATATATAACTAATACATATATAAGTTATGAACGAAATCTATAAATTATTTTATGTAGAATAAAATGTGAAATAATTAATCCATGTATAACTAATTTCCGCATAAAATAATACATGAATTCACTCATAATGATTTCTATATTATTAATACCTGCATAAAATAATTCATAAATATAATTAAACTCATAATTAATCCATATATTATTAATACATGTATAAATCTAACCGACTAGCAAATAACGTGTGCAATTCCATTTGTTTGATTTTCTCAAATATATTGAGCATATTGAATGCGACATTAATAGAGAAAATAAAACAAAAGCAGTAGCTTATAACTTAGGCATTTTATAGTTTATGGGATGTGGTCCTCTGTCCCTAATTACTTGTCCATTTTTTAATTGACACACTTATTAAGAACACAATTATTGACATAATGAGTTTATCATTTTACCCTTATTAATTATGAAGTGGATGAATTAAAAATTTAAAATTTTCAAAAAAGTTTTACCTTTTTTTACAGTAATTAATTGAGGATATAATAGGTAAAAATATTTTATTCTTTCTTAATTTGTCAAAGTAAATAAGTAATAGGAATAACTAAAAAAATAAAATAAACAAATAATTAGGGACAGAGAAAGTAATAAAATTGTAAACATGTCGATGCGTTAGCAAAATAGACAACTAGCATAATTATATGATTATATTTATATTATTTAGAAAGCATTGAATTGCTAGACGGTGAAAACGTGTTTGAAGAATTCTCTGCCACGAAGTCTAAGTCGTCGTCTTCCCCACCCTCAAACCAAAGTGTCATTCTTTGTGTTCGGTTCAATAATACTTGTCCATTATTGAGTTTGATATTTTTTAAGAAGTTATAAATATAAGTGTAGTTTTAATATATCAAGTTATCAACCTTTGAATATATAATAAGTATAATATCGAAAAATGATTATAATTAATAATAAGAATAAATTAAAAATTAATATAAAAATTATTTATTAATTTCATAAAATGGATAAATATTATTAGACAATCCATAATAATATAGTGGACAGTATTATTGGATAATTAGGAGTCGTTTGGTGTGAGGAATAAAAATAAATAGTGATGGAATAAGAAAATAGTGAGGAAATAAAGTTTTTATAGCTTGTTTGGTTGCCATGTTTGAGATAACTTATTTCACCATTTGTATCATAGTGATGAGATAAACTATCCATATACATGATGGAATAAGTTATTACAGCATAGCTAATCTCAGCATAACTAATCCTGAGATAACTTGATGAGAAATGTTGAAAGTTATCTAAAATATAAAAAATTAACAACCATTTTGTGTAGAGAAGTTGGGATATAATGAGTTGGGCTATAGAGCCAAAGACATTGTACTCTTGTAATCCCTCCATGCCTGAACCAATTTTCCATGGCTCTAACCCAAAAAAGTTGTTTTTTTCTGTCTTGCTTTGGATTTTCCGATCATGAAAAGGATAAAGTGAAATCTGTCAAAATTAAAAGGAAAAACAGTTCCTGCATCTCTTTTATCAAATTCCACAGAAAAAAATGGTCGTCAGCGAAAACAGTTTCAATCAACAAAAATAGAGAAGAAATTCATGTGTTCAAGTTTCGGCAGCTTCCGATTTCAACTACCCTTTACGTGCCGGTTACCGATAACAGCAAGGTATGTTCACTTTTATAAATTATTCCATCCGTCCAACAATTAGGGTGTACAAATCAAATCGAATTGATGAATCAAATCAAATCGAAAATAAAATAAAATTTGTGGTTTGGCGTTGGAAAAAAAAACGACCACTCTTGATTTGATTTGATATTCAAAGAAAAAAAGTCAAATCGAACTCAAATCAAATCAACATAATATAAATATATAATTTTATTTTATTTATAGATAAAAAATATTATTTATAATCTACTTTGTTAATATATTTTAGTTAGTTTATAGTTTTCAATGTTTATATATATTATTTCAAATTTGGGCTTGTAAAATTTTGTAAATATTTTATTTTGTATTAAGATCAGAAGTTACAATAATATTGTTATAGTTTTTCAAATTCAAAGTTAATAATTAACTTTGTAAATATTTCGTTTTGTATTCAGTTTGATTGTAACCTTTAATTTTATTAATTTAATATACTGAACATTGATATTTAAAAAAAAAATATTTGTACTTATGTGAATTTTATCATTTTTTCGAAGATTTATATTCATTTAACATTTTTTAACTTTAGCTTATCACACAAGTAAGTGAAAATATATTTGATCTCTTTTTCAAACACCGTATAGTTGTAAAAAATCGAAAAACCGAAAGAACTGACTAATGCCGAAACTGAAAAACCCGACTTTATGTGGTTTGATAAGGTTTTTAGATTTAATAAACCGACATAATTGATTTATGTTTTTTTTAATGAAAAACCAAACCTAATCGACCTATGTACACCCCTACCAACAATAGTTGTCCACCATACTATTATGAGATGTCCAACAATTCTTGTCCACCACTTTATCAAACCAATGGATAATTTACATTTAGTTCTTAATTTATTTTTATCAATAATTATAGTCATTTCTCTGTTACATTTTTCAAGACATTGAATTTTATATAATCAAAGGTGATACAGTAAAATAATTTTTCTGTTTATAATTTTTTATGAAGTGTGTAAATTCAATAGTGGACAAGTATTGTTGGAAAGAGGGAGTAGTAAACAATAAACAATATGTTTTTGCTAATAATTTATTTATAACATACTCCCTCTGTCACATTGACACTTTTTAAATTTTAAAATTCAAAAAAGTTATATTTTTACAGTAGATTTGTCATATTTCTTTTAAATATTTTAAATTTTGATTGTTGTGATTTATACTACTTTTTACGTAATTTATAAATATATAAATTTTATTTAAAAAAGGATAATTTCATATGTAAATTTTCAATCAAACTTAAATGACTCTCAAAAAATGAAAAATATTACATAAATTGAGACATAAAAAATACTTTATTTAATTTAGGAATTCAATGTTCAGAAAAATTATATTGGGTATTCTAAGCTATACATATTTAATCAAGGAATTCAAAAGTTCAGAAACATATATAGAGGGAGTTCAAAGTATAGTTTAATGTTTTACCATGATCGATATTAAAAATGGATTTTAATTTATTTATGAAAGAAAAACCCAGTTTGTGGAACAAAATTGGATTGTACTAAGTAATTTTGGATAGGTTCCTCTCTATTTCTTTTTTCTCCATTTTCCCTATATTTTTATTTGAATGAGAGACACATGTCATAGATTGGAGATATAATAAATGAAAATTAAGTCTTAATTATGATTAAGATATTAATTATTTTATATATTTGTTTTTAAAATATTTTTTAAATTCCATAATTTTAGTAAAACTTTTTTTACTTGCCTTTAGTAAAAACAATTGTGCTTGCTTGATGCTTCTGAAATTTTGTTTTTTCATTTGTTACTTTGTCCCATCCCAAATTGTTTTTAGTCTAATTTGAATGTTTTGGAAAAGAATTTAAAAATAAAATAAAGAGAAGAGAAAATTGGATATATGTTACTTGAATTTAGTACAAATTTTTTCCAGTCAAAATTTATTATATTTAAAAAAATTTGAGTCGAATTTTCGCCCGTCATTCAAAAAGTATTTTGGATGTCAAATTACAAAGAAGATGCGTATTTTACGATCAATATTATTTCAATAGAGAAATTGTGTTTTAAATGTTTTATTTGAAAGATTTTAATTCAAAATATATTTTATTTATGTTAAAATTTGAAATATAAAATAAAAAATATATATATATATTTAAAGATATGCATGTTAAATTAACAAGAGAGAACACGATAAAAATAATTTTTGGTATTGCATAGAAACTTGGTCAAGACATTAATTCTAATAGCTAAGGTGATTAATCCCTCATTAATAATTTAGCTCTTGATGATACTTCTTTTTGTTTCTAATTACTTGTCCATTTTTTTTTAGTTGTACCTAATTACTTGTCGATTTTGACAAATCAAGAAAGGACAAAAATAATTTCCCTATTGTACCCTCAATTAATTATTTTGAAAAAGGTAGAACTTCTTGAAAATCTTAAGTTTTTTAATTCATTCACATCATAAATTAATAGGGGTAAAATGGTAAACTCACTATGTCAATCATTGTTTTCTTAATAGGTGTGTCAATTCAAAAATGGACAAGTAATTAGGGACAGAGGGAGTATTTTTTTGGCTATTTTATTTAGATTACACTAAAGTTAAGTAATTTGTGTGTTTTATAAAATTTTACTCGCAATGTATTTATGTTAGGCAAAGATGATGGTGGAGAAGTGCAAAAAGTTGGAATATTCCTCTTGCAAAAAGGGGTTATTGAGAAGCTTTACTAGTGGAGAAGACAAGCATGACACTTCTAACGTTATTTGGATGTCAATACTAATGGTGACACTAATTACAATGTTGTTTTGGGGCAAGTTTTGTGCCATTCTTTGGACCTCTTCATGCTTATATTTTCTCCCAACAATGAAAAGCACTCATCATGGAACATAATGTGAACTCCAACCTATACAACAAGGAGGTGGTGTTGAATCGATTTCTACTTTCTAGAGACAAACCATCCAAATGTTGTTCCATTTTAATGGTTTTCTATTTTTTGTATAGCTTTCTCTTTTGGAGGAATGTAATTTCTTTTTTCAAATACATTCCTATTGTTTTTCTTTTGTGGTTTATTTATGCTTTCGAAGGGAGTGTTGAAACATGTGAAAACAAGGGGAAGATTTGTAAATTTATGGCACTAAGTATAACTCAATATCAAAAGTTCGTTCCTAAAGGAGATTGTTCAAGTTCATATGAGCAGACAATATTTTTCAATTAATGTAGGATTTTAACCACTCTAACCCCCCCCCCCATTTATGCACAGGTCCAACTGGAGCATGGATCGGGAGTTCATTCAAAAATAGATTTAATCTTAATATTTTGTCAAGATATGACACTTGAGCATACTTAACTCCAAAAGCTAGTTTATGAGGGAAATTACCCAAGTCCACATAAACATGCCACCGTTAAATCTTCAACCAATATGAGACTTTAACTCACTCTAATAACATTTCCGTAAAAGATTATCTCATTTCTACATTTATTTATTTATTTAAAAAGAATGTAGCACCTATTTTCAATTATTTCAAGTAACTTAAACCATAATAATAAATTATGATAGGACAATTTCATTCGTGGTGAGGTATCACCTTAAGATTCATACGTCTGTTCTACTAACACTACTTAAAAAATTGTCAAAAAACGACGGCCAAAAGCGACGGACTGCGTCGCTTTTTTGGTCAAAATCGACGGAAAAGCGACGCAGTCACCTCCGTCGCTTTTTAACCAGACGCTTTTCAAAAAGCGACGGACTGCGTCACTTTTCAAAAAACGACGGACTGCGTCACTTTTCAAAAAGCGACGGACTACGTCTCTTTTAAAAAAGCGACGGACTCCGTCGCTTTATTTTAATTTTCATTTTTTTTTATTTCTAAAAGGGCATGCAGTCCGTGGCTTTTCTGGAAAATTTATTTTTGAAAATCCCAGAAAAGCGACGGACTAAACCACGTTGTCCGTCGCTTTTCTGGGTTTTAAAAAAAATTAAATCCCAGAAAAGCGACGGACTAAATCACGTTGTCCGTCGCTTTTTCTGCAATATTTTTGACAACAACAGCTGGCAGTTTCTGCTGCCCACCTGTAAATGCAATTCAATTCAATTCTACACTATTCAGCCCAATCAAACACACA